TACTACTACTACTACTACCACTCTACTACTACTACAACTACTACTACTACTACTACTACTACTACTACTACTACTACTACTACTACTACTACTACTACTACGACTACTACGACTATAGCGACGACTACAACTACTACTACCACTACCGCTACTACTACTCATACTACTACTAATACTACGACTAGGACTACGACTACGTCTACGACTCCTTCTACAACTACGTCTCCTACTAATACTACTTATAATACGGCCACCACCACTACAACGACGACGACGACGAAGACGACGACGACGACGACAACTACTACTACTACTACTACTACTACGACGCCTACTACGACGACTACTACTTCTACCACTACGATTACGATCACTACTTCTACGATTACAACTACTACTACTACTGCTACTACTACTACTACTACTACTACTACTACTACTACTACTACTACTCCTACTCCTACTCCTACTACCACTACCACTACTACTACTACTACTACTACTACTACTACTACTACTACTACTACTACTACTACTACTAGACTACTACTACTGCGACCACCACTACTACTACTACTACTACTACTACTACTACCACCACCACCACCACCACCACCACCACTACTACTACTACTACTACGAATACTACTACTCTAAACTACTACTACTACACTACTACTACTACTCACTAACCACTATTACTATACGACTAATTACTACTACTACCTACTACTACTACTACTACTACTACTACTACTCTAATTATTACTACTACTACTACTACTGCTGCTACTATCGCCTACACTACTACTCTACTAGCTACGACCTAACTACTACGATCTACGGTTACGACTACGAACTGACGCACTACGATTATTATACTACTTCTACTACTACTACTACTACTCACTACTACTCTACTGCTACTACTACTACTACTACTACCACTGCTACAACTAACTACTACTAAACTATTGCTACCACGACTAGCCGACTACTACCACTAAAGGACTACTACTACTACTAACTACTACTACTACTACTACTATTACTACTACTATACTACTACTACACTACTACTACTTACGACGACTACTACTACTACTACTTGCACACGCGGCTACTACACCGATACTACTGCGATTACTACTGCGACTACCTACTACTACACTACTACTACTACTACTACGACGACGACGACGACGACGACGACGACGACGACGACGACGACGACGACGACGACGACGACTACTACTACTACTACTACTACTACGAGTACTACTACTACTACTACTACTACTACTACTACTACTACTACTACTATTACCACGAGTACTACGAATACTATTACTTCTACTACTATTACTACTACTACTACTACTACTACTACTACTACTACTACTACTACTACTACTACTAGTACCACGACTATTTACATTACTACTTCTACTACTACTACTACTACTACTACTACTACTACTACTACTACTACTACTACTACTACTACTACTCCTACTACTACTACTACTGAGAGTCCTAATAAAAATATACCTACTAGGCTGTGAGCAGGTCACTTATGACAAAGCTGACGGAAGGATTCGAAGGGGCATGGGCTTGAGCGACATATCTGGAAACATGCCTGGACGCGCTAGCCAATCACTCTGCTCCCTCGTGTCCTTATCTACCCCCTCCTACTACTAACACCACTGATCCGACGCTTTGAAACAAGCGGGCCGTCTCTTCTTCCACGGACACTAGCTTGGAAAGCAATTGCCGAAAATCATGAACCGATCCGAGGGCAGCGAGAAGGGTCGGGAGAATGGGGTGAGGGCAGGGCGATCTCGGATCGCAGACGCAGTGGTCATGAAGGCAGCATTAAAAAGCTGCGTATGAGCTTCTACATGTTTATATAGATACACACAAATACACACATACCTACATACATACATACAGACAGACAGACAAACAGACAGACACACGAACAGCCATACATACATTTACACATACCGACATACTACATACATGCAAACATGCATGCATGCATGCACGCATGCATGCATACATACATACGTACATACATACACACCCCATACATACATACATACATACATACATACATACAGAAAGACAGAGAGACAGACAGACAGACAGACAGAAAGACAGACAGAAAGACATACAGACAGACAGACAGACAGACAGACAGACAGACAGACAGATAGACATGCATGCATGCATGCGTGCATACATATATACATACATACGTACACACACAACACTGAAAGATTTCTCCACCCGCCGAGCGTTACGACGGATTTCGTTTTTTGGGGAGGGCGACGAGGGAACGAGGGAGAAGAGAAGGAAGACGAGGCCGAGGGGGAAGCAACGACGACCCCAAAGCGCAGAGACGACAAAGCGGGAGGACAGGAAACGAAAGAGGAGGCGACAGAACGACGAGACAAGACGACAAGAGGCAAAGCGACAAGAAACGAAAGCGGCGACGCAGCCCTGCCTCACAGGAGGAGCATGGGATGAAGAACGCGGTCACCTCCAGAAATTTGATCAGAATATGCACTACGAAGATGAGTATAGGCTCAGGCCCACCACGAAGAATCCCACGCCCAGCTCAGGTAGACCTGTGAAGCAAGACAGCGATCGGACCGCACGACCAAACGTGCATCGACACTCGTGCGAAGAGCCCCCCACGGTTCAGCCAAAATGATTTATGTTGGGACGGGATTTGCCATCGACCGAAAAGCACCACCGGCAGCCAGAGCCATATCATAAGATGTACTGAATCGCCCCAGACTCAATACAAGGAGAAATACCGAAGCCTCTTGAGCACCATGATGACACATCGACGGGTGACCGAACA